TAAAGAGAGGAAGGATTTTTTTCCTTTGTGGTTTAAAAAAAATACCTTTCAGAATTTGGGTTCGATTCCCATTTTTTTTGTTTTTTTAAGATAAGAATTTTTTTTGAAAAAATGGATTGAAAAAAAGTTTAAAGGTTGATATTTTGAATAATCAGGGATATGAAATATTGGTTTTTAAGGATGGAATTGGGTTAATAAGGATTGTTTAAAAGGGTTGGATCAAGTTGTGGCGTTATTTTGAGAGGATTGATCAGTTTACTTTTGATCTTATTGTCGGATTTATTAGCAAATGGACGGTTCTGGTTTTGTTAGGCTGTATATATATATAAGAAATTGAGGTCCAAAGGTTTCCTATTTTATTCACAGGTTTGAGTTACTCAGCTTCCTTCCAGGGGTTACTGATTCTAAGAGATATAAAAGCTTTTGAAGCAATACAAAGGAGAATAAGACGCTTTCTTTCGAGGTTGGTAAGCTACGATTGATAAGTTTTGTATTGTTTGGTTTGGTTTGGAGTTGTAGTTCCCAATTTCAATAGTACTTTGTGGTGAAGGTTCATTTGGTTTTTTTTTTTTTTTTATTATTATCTCTTATTATTTTGATTTTAATATAGATGATTACTGAAATGGATGTGGGACAGAAGAGGGTTTATAATAGCAGTGATGGGGGTGGAGTATTATCTGGGAGTGTGTTTGGATTGAATGATTTGGACGACGATGAGGACGAGAATAGATTTGAGGAGTTGCCGTTGAAGACAAAGATTTTGAAAAGTAGCAACTTTTCAGAACTAGGAGAATTATGGGAATCAAGACCAAACACACCTTTGAATTTGAAAAAAGTTAGATTTCAACAGAATAATAGCAATGGTGATGGCAGTGACAATAGTAATGATAACGATGTTAATAATAACGATGGCGACACGCAAGGATCTGGAGAAGACGATAATACTAATACTAATACTAATACTAATACTAATACTAATAACAACAACGATAATAACGATAATAATAATAATGATGACAACAACAACAACAACAACAACGATAATAATAATGGGGATGACAATAATGAACATGATGGGGAAAACGAACATAATAGTAGATCTTACCTAACAACTCCTTCCCAACAGAATAAAAGAAATGTAGAAGATCTAATTCAGTATGCAAGTGAGGTAAACGACTACGTAGCTGAGAATATAGACAATATTAAAAATTTCCCATCTGATATTGTTAAAAATGATATGATAGGTAGACCATCAAGCAATGCTGCCACTGATAGTTCTTCCGTTTGGGATACAGTATCAAATTTCGAATTAAGTGAAAATGAATTCGAAGATAAAGATAGATCAAGTTCTTTCATTCTAAATATTAATGATTCCTCAAGCATACGAAAATTTACACAGATTCAAGCAAAAAGCAGTAGTAATAGTAACCTAGATCTAGAAACATCATTTTCAAAAATTTACGAAAATTCAAATGAAGGAGTAAACGATAAAAGTGCTGATAATATTTCCCCTCAAGTTACTTTAGAGGAAAACAGTAAACATGATGTTCTTACTGACGTTCAAAACTCTCCAGTTTTGAGCGACGAAATACAAAATTTGGAAGGTTTAACCATTAAATCCCCCATTAGTTATAACGACGATGACGAACTAAAAATAGCCCCTCTTATCGAACCTTCCTTAGGCGACGATAATGAAGAAGACAGTGTAACATTAACTAAAATTACTCCAGAGGAATCAATTAATATATTTCAAGAAACAATCGACTTATTAGAAAAAGTATCCAACTTAGAAGGTGAAGGTGAAGGTGACAACCCTACTTCTATCGTCAACGATAATAACAAAACAAAAGAAGAAGCCATAAATTTAGAATACAATCATTTTAATATGAAAAGTGTTCCTACAGTATCATACAAGGATTTGTTGAATAGGATTCATACTAAGTGTATGTTTGGCTCAATAATATACCTTGGTTCAACGTATTTATTACAAAGTTTAATTTTAGAAAGAGATTTCGAAGATAATTCTTTAAGAATAAGAAGGAAACTAAAATCAACCGAAATCCACAGAGTAGTAATTGCTTCCATACGGGTTGCAACTAAGTTACTTGAAGATTTCGTTCATTCCCATGAATATATTACAAAGGTTTGTGGTATTTCAAAAAAACTACTCACTAAATTAGAGGTTTCATTGATTATTTGTTTAAAGGATAGTGGCCTATTGATTAGAACACATGAATTACTGGGTGCAGTAAAAATTCTTGACGAGATAAAAGCATCGAATATCGATGAATGATTTAATTTATATAATATAATTATTAATTCATATTCACATGTATCATGTATTTTATTTGTAAATAACTGTAATTGGTGTTTAGTCACCTGAATTTATTTTTAGGTAATTTAATATCAACATCGTAGTTTATCAAATTAAAAAAGGAAAGAATAAAGATATGTTGCAATTTTAGTTACTTCAATAAAATATATGATTAACGTCACTATTGTTAACTATTTATCTATAATCATACTTCAAATAATACAATTTTTTTATTCAAATAAATCTATATTCTTTTCGGATTCAACTTAACATTGCATTCAGTTCGATGTCTAAATCAAAAAAGAAATTGATATTCTAAATAAGTTCTATATTCAATGAATTCATAATATCCAAATTATGTAGTAATCCGGGACATTATTAAACACCGCTGTTTCTTTTAATATGATCTGCTAAATCATATTTCATTCTAATAGGTAAGTGCTCGTTCTTATCAACTGTTTTCTGTACACTTTTATAATGCAATCTACGGACCCAAGGAACTTTAGCATGCAACTTCCCAACTTTGTCTGGATCTGCTAGCAAACTATCTCTTTGTTTGAATATCATTTCAGCATCTTGTACTAGTTCATATTCCAAGTGTCTTTTATGGGCCTCTATTGGGGATGATTTGAATTTATTATCATTAGTCTCTTCTAAGATCTCTAATAAAAACAAATCTAAATCTACGCCACTGTTTTCGTTTAGTTTCTTTAATACACTAATTGGATTCTCCCATTTGACAGCATATCTCCTCCATAACCTTGCACAACGAATACAGATCAATGAAGTACTTTTCTTTGATTCTTTCTTGGATCTTGTATTTGGATGTTCCTTCAAAAATTCACCAGATTTAATTCCACTCTCTAATTCTATTTGTGTATTATCACCAGCATACCTATACCACATGTATGAATAATTTATTTCGCATATTTCACATTTATAACTCAACTGGGAGTTAATGCTAGAATTAATATCAAGAGAAGAATCATCAACATATTTAACAACATAGTCAGGAGTAAATTTGCCAACAATTGGCAATATGTCTGATAAGCTTAATAGGTTCTGTATTTCCTCGATGTTCTCATTGGGTTGAGATTTTTCAAAAGGCAATATATATTCCTTCCTTGGGAAATGTAATGTTGCAAAGTTTATCATACTTTCTATACTCCTTGGTAGAGATTTCCATAAACAAAAATACCTATTTAAGGTTGCAATATTTTGTGTCTTGATAACCTGTTGAATTAATTGAAGTTCATTACCAAATTTTACAATACATTCTTTGAATTGTTTTAATTCTGCTTCATTTAAAACTTGAGACTCAAATAAATGTCTATCTATTGAATCTTTGCAGATTAAGTATGCATCATCCACGTTATTGTTACAGCCCCATAAAATCATCAGAAGCGTGTCTTTAACTTCTATGAAATCTCTTTCTAAAGAAGACGAATTATATAATTCTTCACACTTCACAAGGAAATTGCTAATATCATCCGAACTTATGTCAATTAATTTATTGAAATCCCAAATATTTTCATTGGAGTCTTCTCTTAAAGTAATTGATAGTCTATCATTTGTATATGGATGGACATCCCAGGTAACCCAAGGGTTCCTCGATTTATCTTTCGTAATTGAATTGTTTAATGGATAAGGTAATAATAATGTTTGGTCGAGTAGCGCATCTAAATTATTAATGGAGTTCTCACCCAAGTAGAAGAACGAAACATTTTCTTTGTTGTAGTCAACACCCGCTTCTAAAGCTTTCAAAGCTATATTTTCTATTTCTAGTTTGTATTGGTCTCGTATATAATCGTCAGCTGCTCTTAGGCTTTTAGCGAGTTCTTCAACATTTTCATTATCTTCTTCAAAGTGAACACATATATCACATAACCAAACAACATCTGAGTCCAAAGGTTCTGACAATGGTGGATTTAGACACCTATTATGAATTGATACTTTACACTCATCACAACGTAGGCATTCGCTACCACTACACCATTCTTTACACTGCCTGCAACTTTTATCCCATATATAATCTGTGGTTGATGAAGGACTTTGGTTCAAAGCAATATATTTATTTGAGATACGTTCTAGAGGATACTTTTTTTCAGTAAACAAGTAACGAAATCTTTTATTTAAAACATAAAAGAATGATGTGCTACTAAACAGATGCAACAGCCTTTTTGTTGGATATACATTATAGAATTTACCGCTGTAGATATCATAAAGTTCACTAAAGTAAAAAATATTTGACCTTTGATAAACTTCAAATTCATTAGGTAATCTTTCAATAATTTCAGATACATGGCAGATAGTACATTTACCTCTATAACTTTCGATTGGCATGACATCTTCCATTTGAGATGCGTACAAATATCTTGGATCTGAATCTGCTGTAGTGCCTACAATATCCCTAGTCCTGTAGAACCAATTCAGACGCATTTTAAAATATTTTACTGGAAATCTAGTAGTTATCCTTAAGGATCTTTGGATGACACTTTTATATTCTTCTAAAATTTCAAATCCTACTAGACGACCAATATAATAGGGTTCCCCTACGACTGTAGCCATGCAATATATAGTATCATCTTTAGCTAATAAATTTGTCCCATCTACAGAGTACAATATATGTTCAATAATGTCTACCTCGGCATTTTCAGAATCAAGAATATTCGAAAACCTAATATCCTTTCTGAATGATGGAGGTATAGTTGGCTGAAAGTTCCAATAAAGTTCATCACCCCTCACAGGATGTACTTCACTATTTTCAGCATCATCGTTATTCTCATTAGTTACTTCTCCGTGGTTTAAATCAATGGAATCAGCAAGCTCCTTTAAATTATCGTATTGTTCATTATATTTCTCAGCAAGACCCAATTCATCAGAATTAACCCTGTTATCAAACACATTTGAATCAATTCCATTCCTTAGCAGATGAGTCTCATCGCCAATGTTATCGTTATTATCTTTCTCCTTCTCCATAATGTGAATTTTATAATTTCCTTATTCTCAATAACTTCAACTATAGTAGACCAAATGATTTCGAACCAAAGCAAAACAAAACAGAACAGAACAAAACAAAACAGAATAGGACAATAACCAAAAGATATACCAAACCTTCAATACACTAAATCAACAATCTTAGGTCTGTTGAACTCAATTTTTAATTGTTTTAAATCTTATTCATCATTCACTTCTCTTATTGTTTACTTTACATTATTTTTTTAGATATCAATAATACTTTTTGATGGAGCCAACCTTTTTGAAAAGTTTGATATTGATGTTTAAAAATACCATATACTAGAATCATTAAATATAAAATGAATTGTAACGTCAGAGAAGCAGTATTGATAGCCTTGAGGTTGTAACATTATTGATTTTTTGATTTTTGGTTAGAAGTTTGTCAAAATTTTGGTTTTTCAGTGATGGATAGAGCAGCTCCAGAAATACCTGGTATCATCCAACCAGGAAATGTTACACAGGATTTGAAAATGATGGTTAGTAAACTGTTGAATTCACCTAAACCATTAAAGACCTTTCCAGGTTCCAATCCTGTTTCATTTCAGCATGCTGATATAGAAGAGAAGCTTTTATCTCATGATTACTATGTTTGTGAAAAGACTGATGGTTTACGTGTATTGATGTTAATACTTATAAATCCAGTGACGAAAGAGCAAGGATGTTTTATGATTGACAGAGAGAATAATTATTATTTAGTGAATGGATTTCGTTTTCCTAGATTGCCTCAGAAGGATAAGAAGGAATTATTGGAAACTATGCAAGACGGTACTTTAGTAGATGGTGAATTGGTTATTCAAACTAATCCAGTGACAAAAATGAAAGAACAAAGATATTTAATGTTCGATTGTTTAGCCATAAATGGTCGTAATATTGTAGCATCTCCAACAAGTTCAAGACTAGCACATTTAGGTAAAGAATTCTATAAGCCATATTTTGATTTAAGATCTGTTTATCCTGACCGCTGTGAAACATTCCCTTTTAAAATTTCAATGAAACAAATGAATTTTAGTTATGATTTAGTAAAAGTTGCAAAGACCCTAGATAAATTACCACATCTATCTGATGGGCTAATTTTCACTCCTGTGAAGACTCCTTATTTTGTCGGTGGTAAAGATTCCTATTTATTAAAATGGAAGCCAGAAGAAGAAAACTCTGTTGATTTCAAACTAATATTAAATATACCAGTGGTGGAAGATACCTCTTTGACTAAAAAGGATCCAAATAGATGGTATTATAACTATGATGTAAAACCAATTTTTGAATTATATATTTGGCAAGGTGGTTCAGACGTAAATACAAGACTTCAAAATTTTGATAAACCCTTTGACAAAAAAGAATACGAATTATTGGAAAGAACATACAAAAGATTTGCTGAATTAGAGATAGATGATGCAAAATGGCAAGAACTGAAAAATTTAGAAGAGCCACTTAATGGTAGAATTGTGGAGTGTACAAAAGATAAAGAAACTGGTGCCTGGACAATGTTAAGATTTAGAGACGATAAATTAAATGGTAACCATACCTCTGTTGTACAAAACGTTCTAGAAAGTATTGGTGCGTCTGTAAAATTGGAAGATTTAGGTGATGTGGTTGCTGAAATGAAAGCTAGATGGAAGCAAAGATCTGGTGGACAAAATGGACCAGCGTCATATCCTCAACAACATCAAACTCAACATCAAACTCAACATCAAACTCAACATCAAACTCAACATCATGTTCAACATAATGCTCAACATCAAGTTCAAGAACGTAATGAAGGAGAAAATTCCACTCAACCAAAATATGTTGATGAAGATGATTGGTCAGATTAAACATAATGTAATCTATGTAATATTTAAATAGGGTCTTGTATTAACAGTATTTACAGGTATATGAATTAGTACATACTATGGTAATATCTTAAATATCAATGAATAAATTAACCACAATATCATTATATGTGCGATAAAACGATGCTTTTTATCAATTCTCTTGGGTTTCCGTTACCGCTTAAGAAATATTTTTCATCTACAAGTTGATCTAAACTTTTAGAATCTTTATCTTTCTTCAACACAATGTCGGATTCCAAATAGAATGACATTAATTCTTTCACTTCCTCCTTTGTTAATTTAGGAACTTGGAATTCTTCAACTTTTCCCTTCTTTAATATTTCTGCAAATTCAGGATCATATTGTTTTCTTGGAATATATTCATCATGTTGAGCTTTACCCAATGCGATTGGTAAAGTTCTATTTGTTCTATCATCACCGGATGTTGCCATTACAATTGCACTATTTTTATTTTTAAATTTAGAGTCACCAGAAACAAAATCCATAATTGTCTTTACAATCTGCAAATCTAATGATCTGATATTTTTATTATTTACATTCTTATAAGCACAATCGGAGGTTACTAAAATACGAGAGAAGTTATCGATTGTGAAATAAACAGGAACTTTAGATTGTGATTTCAATTCCTGCATTATAGATTGAAATAACTCGCCACGACTACGAGATACAGTTTTAACTGAAAGTAAATCATATAGAGTGTTTTTTCCACCAAATAAAGTTAAATGTTTCCTGTTAACATCTTTTGAATCATTATTTGGAAATTTGTAGTCATTAGCCAACGTAATGCTCTTTAAAACACTCTTATCATTACCTTTTAAAATTTTCCTTATAAAGCTTTTTAAATACATTGGTTGGACGTATAACTTTGAATTCTCATCATAAAAGAAATCATTTCTACCATTTAAAAATAGTTCTGGATATGAGATGTTGACTGTAATGCTCTTAGCCTCGGTAGCAAAGGCGTGTACTTGTGACAACAATACAGTCTTACCAACACCAGGTTCACCTGTTACAATGAATTTTTTATTGGCTGACTTCTTCAATAGATCAAGAAATTTCTTTGTAGTGCCTTCACGAACTAATGAAATTGGTTTTGGGAACAATTCATTGAATTGATTATGTTTGAAAGAACCCAAATGAAACAGATATCTATAATGTAAAGTTGAATAGTTGGTGACCTGGCTAACTTCTAATTTATTGGTTGGTTGGTAAATTGGTAAGTCAACCTTTACTGCATTTCTATTGAATTTTGAAGTAGCAATTAGATCTTTCCAATTTTTAACCATTGAACCTACAGCAACCTTCTTGGTAGAAGTTTTAGTTCCAGTAGGTTTCTTGGCAAAACCTTGAGACCTACCACGAGTTGGAGGTTTTGCATACAATAAAGAACTATTTGAGAATAATCTCGCTTGAAATCTATTCTTCAACATCGGGATAAAACCTTTAAAGCCAAGTTAACACACTATTTCTTGAAATATTTAAATAATCACAGCTATTGTTCAGCTATATCAACAATGGGACCTTCAATTCAATAGAATCAATTATTATTATAGGATGGGTTGGGTTGGGTTTATATCGATAAATTAGTGAAACTTTTTATCTTATTTTGATATTTTAAAATTAATACCATTAAGCTGTTCGTCTGAGATGATTCATTTTATGATGAAAGCTGTATTTAAAATAAACACCGATGATGACAGTAATTAAATACTAGATCGATGAATTACTTTGATCTCTTTCAATGATTAGTTTTGAAAATACATCGATTTGATGATTGTCCTTTTGAAAATTGGGTATATTACATATTTTTATAAAAAAACGGTTACAAACAAAATACATATTGAGCAATCGATCATGACAAGATGAAATTAAATCTTTTCTTGATACCTGCTTCAAAAAGTATACTTATATAGATACATAAGGAAAAGAGATATAGAGCTGTGATAGTGATCTATTGAATAGTGCAACTAAATTTAGACTTTTCCTTTGAGGAATCCATTGACTCGGTTGATTCCAGGTTATCCTTTGAAATTTCTTGTTCAGTTTGGATTTTTTTATCTTGTTTCTTGTTCTTCTTGTTCTTCTTTGGTTCATCTGAGTTTTCAAATTTATCCTTTGGAGTTTCTATTTCTGGTTCTTCATAATCTGGAATGCCTCTAGCGGTTAAGAATTCAAAAATACTTTTTTGAACAGCAGCACCTACTTTTTCGTCGGTTTCGATACCTTGAGCTCCTGTTACCATATTGAAACTGTCAATATAACTGAAAAAGGCGTTAAATACATTTTCATCTACCTCTTCTTTGTATATTTTATCATAAATGTGTTTCATTTTAAAGGCATCCATTTCCTTTTGGAATTTACTGAAATCAATTGGATTGTAACCGAATTTTTCTAATCTTTTATTATAACCTTCGAATACAGGGGACTCCAATAATAAACCTAAGGCTGGAGCCTTTGGAATGTTGATCTTTTGTGGGCCATAAGCTTGACTTATACGAGAAACTGGGCAACCGCAACGAGTGACTAAAGTAGCCATAGAAATCATTTTACGGATTTGATGTAACATAAATGATTGGCCATGGATTTTAATGGAGATCCATTCGGTTTTTGCAGCACCAATAACAAAAGGGTCTGAAACTCTGATTTCTTTCATAAATCTGATTGCACTTGGATCTTTGAAATCTTTACCTAAAGTGAAATTGTGGAAATTATGAGCACCTAGATATTCATTCATAGCATTACGGAATTTAGTTAATTTTTCGTCAGAAATACGGTATCTACGACGATGTTCGTTTTCCAACTTTTTGTATTGTTTAACCTTTTGATATAAGCCATCTTTATCGTTAAATTCATCTCTTGGAGGAGGGACATAATTTTTAATAGCTTCAATTTCCTCTTCTGTAAAGTGTTGTCTAACTTCATGATCTACTCTTTTCCAGAAAATTTGTGATTCTAAATCATCATCTAAAACTCCTGGAAGTTCTAATTTACTTTCTTCGATATCCTTGAATAAAATGGAACCAGGTTTTGGACCGATTAAAGAATAAGTAGGTAATAAGTATTCGTACCAACGGGAACCGCACATTTTTCTACAATCAAAAGCTTTATTCACACGTTCAATATTCCAGACCTTAATACCATTTGGTAATTCTTCATTGATTTTTTGTTTAATTTCTGGATCTTCGATAATCATCTTCAATGAAATCAAGTTACCACCAGCATGAACACCTTTATCAGTTCTAGCAGCTCTCATGAACCCATTTTTTTTCAAGTCATTTGAATTGGCCTTCGATATGGCACCTGCTTGAACAAAAGCTTTAAACAGGGCATCTTCAATAGTTGGATTTGGTGGGTTATATTGCATACCATGATAGCCGGTACCACAATAACCTACCATAACAGCAACTTTCCTTTTTGGAAGTCTTTTCTCCTTTGGAATTGGATTTCCATTGTCATCCAATTTCTGTTCACGATTATCATTAGTCTTTCTATTTTTAAAATTGATAAGTAGATTATAATTAGTTAGTATTAAAATGATTCCAATCCCACATATAAAATTGCAAAAACATATAGAAGAAGCAATTAGCAATAAAGAAAATAAAAACATACATACAATTTCTTACTAGCATGTTGTTGAGACCCATCAGACTGTTTATAATCTGCTTTTCTAGCCTTGCTCCATTTATGTTGAGCGCCTCTTTTGTAAGTTTGTTCACCCATTTGATTATCGTCTTCATATGTCTCTCTTAAATTAGTATTAGACATTCTTCGACCTGATCAAACTTTACAAGAATCTTTCGATGATACAGGACCAAACCAACAAAGAAACAAACAGATATATAAATAATAATAAAACACATATAGAATATAGATAAACCGAAGTTTCAATAACTAATTACATAAGTGTAAATATGTTTTCTATATTTGTTTATTATTCAAAATTGAGCTCATCTCAAAATTTTTCACCGATTTGAAATTTTTTTGACGCTTCCCGTTCGAATTGTTGGAAATAGGTGTATCTTGATTTTGATCTCTGAGAGAAGTCAGTAGAAGAATGCATGATGATAATTTATATCTATCTATATTTATTTATATTTATATATATATTTATACAAAAGGTTGATATAATATATTGTAAACAGAGGGGAAACTATTCATTAATACACA